TGTTTCGGATACAGGTCTACACTCACTGCTTGCCCAAGCGTCGCTTCTTCATGGGAACTCGGATTCCGGGAGCTCGTGACGCGTGTGCCTCTTGTGTAATTTGCGACAAGTTGTCCCAACTTACACCAGCTAATCAGGCACACTATTTATTATACCGTAGCGTTTCGGGTGCGGCTCCGCTCTCGCACGGAGGTTGCGTCCGTTTGAGTTCGATGAGCTTGAATTGTCGCTGTGTTGTTCAGGCTTCGATTCATTTGGACATGATCTCTATGCGCGGAGATGCGTGTGAAGCGTGCATGTTTTGTCGTCGCCGCCCCTCCCCCTCGTCCTTGTCCTGTTGGTCTTGTCGCCCCCTCCTCCTTCCGCCTTTCCCCCCTCGTCCTGGGGAGCCGGCAGGATGATGCCCATGCCGCCCCGTGCTCAGGGTCCTGGGCCCCCACTCGGGAGGCTCAGCTCCTCACCCGTGGCGCCGCCTAGCAGGACGCTGCATACACGCTGCCGGGCTCCCTCCGCCGGGGTCCCGCTGGCGGCCCGGCCATCCCACCAGAGCTGCCCGTGGAGGGCCTGGCGATCCCGCCAGGCTGAGGTCGGGCGTGTCCGCCTACAGGCGGATTCTGGGCGACAAATATAGAAATACCCCAAACGTACCCCACAATGGCAACAAAAGTAGGACAAAGATCGTCCCCGGACTGTTTTTGACTGTTTTTGAAATACTCCCCCTGTAGAGGGACAGGCCCGACTTGACGCCAGGCCCCGCTGCCTAATGCTCACCGGGCGCTGCCATCCCTTCTCTCGGCGGTGGACAAACCTCCCTTTCGTAAACCTCCCCTAGTGAAAAAAGACCTAGGGCCGACATCGACGGACCTGGACCCGCAAACATGACGGCCGCGACGCCCTCTGGCGAACCGAAAACGGCCCATTCCTCAATCGACGTGTGAGGGTAAGAGGTCTGTCCACCTCCGATTCTCGGGAGGGCACGACGCACCGTTCCGTCCCTCGCGCACCCGCCCCCCCCTCTGGCTGGGGGGGGGGGGGGGGGCAGGCTGCCGCGCGCCGCCGGGCAGGGCGGGGCACGACGCTCGCCGGTGGCTCCCTTACCCGCCCGGCAGGGCGGAGCGGAGCCGGCCCGCAGCAGAAGGGGGCGCGGGGAGGGCGCGAAGGGCCTTGGAAAACCGCTGCGGAGACTTTCGGGCGGGGCGCGGCCATCGAGACTGGCCAAGGCGGGGCGCGAGGAGGACGCACAGGGCCTTGGAAAACCGCTGCGGAGGCTTGCGGGCAGGGCGCGGCCCACGAGACTGGCCCACCCGGCCCGGGAGGACGCAGTGTGACGACCCGGGGTCGTTTTTGTTGGAGGTTGTGAGAGAGTTGGAAGTTCGTCTTGGGGAAGCAATCTTTTTCTCACATTCTATAGTGGGTTATGCCGCGTCTGCGAGGAGGCAGGGATGCGAGGGTACCCTTGGGGAGGCTGCCCCTGCTCACTGTGCGGATGGGCTGTGCAAGCTCTGCTGCACCTCTCCCGCGCTGCCAGGGGGGCGATCCGCCTCTCCGGTGGCCCACGGGCGGGGTACGACATCCGCCGTCGCCGCCCCCGTGGCGGGGGGAAACCTCCGTCTCTCCAGTGGCCGCCGGGCAGGGCGGGGGCTGAGATTCTGACGTGCCTCCTCGCCCTCCCTCCTGCCTCGCCCTCTTCCCCTGTCCTGTGCCGTGCCGTGCCGTCCCCTCCTCGCCCCGCCGCTCGACCGCTCCTTCGGCTGTCGCGCTGCCCACGTGTGGCGTGCCTCTCCGGACGCTCGGTGGTCCCCTTCTGCTCCCTCCCCCTTGGGCGCCCGAGTTATTCGGGGTAACTCGGGTCTGGGGCAACTCGGGTTTGGATGCCCGAGAAAAAAAACCCGAGTTAGCCCTGACCCGAATTACCCCTGATGATTTGGGGCTCTGGACGCCCGAGTTATCCGGGGTAACTCGGGCCCGGGGCAACTCGGGTTCAGAATCCCGAAAAGCGAACCCGAGTTAGCCCTGACCCGAGTTACCCCTGATGATTCGGGGCTCTGACTGTGCCTTCTCCGCGCGTGGGCCGAGTCCGCAGGCCTCCTCCGCGCCGGCGGCGGCCGATGCGCCGAGCGCCTCATCTGGACGCGGATGGCAGGGATGGGATCCTGCGCCTCGCGTTGGAGAAGTGGCCATCCCAGTGTGTTGTGCATCCCTTCCCCCTCTTTGCCTCCTCCTCCTCCTCCTCCTCCTCCTCCTCCTCCTCGGCCGGCTCCTTCCCTCATCGTGTCTCTTGCCTTGCACTTGTGCTGTGTGGTGCCTTCTTGCTTCCCCTCGGCTCCCCCTCTCACTCGTCGGTCTGCCCGTCGTCCCTCGCATCCTTCCGTCCTCCTCCCTCGGCTGTCCACTGGCGCTCCTCTCTCCTCGCTTCCATCTCCTTTGCTTGGACCCCCTTGCCTTTGTTTTGCTAGCAGGTTGCCGTCTGAAGTCTGGTCAGCTTTGGCCATCCATCCATCGGGTGAGTTCCCTGCAATGCCTTGGCACGTGAGGGCCTGGCGTCTGCCGAGCCGCTGCCCCTTGGAGGTCCAGCGACGCATTTTCCAGATCGGCGCGCGCGCGTCGGCGGACATCATCCGGCATGGATGGGGCTCCTGCCCGAACAAGACAACACCGTGTGTGTGTATATTTTGTGTGTTCTGTGTTGTCTGTCGTGTGTTGCGAGTTGTGTTGTGTTGTGTTGTGGTGTTGTAGTGTTGCGTTGTGTTGTGTAGTGTTGCGTTGTGTTGTGGTATAGTGTGTTGTGTTGTGCTTTGATGTGCTGTGTTATGTTGTGTTGTGTTGTGTTGTGTTGTATGTATATGCCTGTGTGGGCGCGTGTGTGTGTGTGTGTGCGCGTGCGTGCATGCGTGTGTGTGTGCGCGTGTGTTGTGTGTGCGTGTGTGCGTGTATGAGTGTATGTGCGTGTGTGCGTGTGTTCGTGCGTGCGTGCGTGCGTGTGCGTGTGCGTGTGTGTGCGTGTGTGTGTGTGTGTGGGGGGGGGAAATTCGACAGCGCCATCGGCTGGCTGGCTTTAGTCACAGCCATGGCCCACCCATGTTGGCGGCGTGCAGGGCTGGCAGCTGCTGCTGTACTCGGGCCTGATCATGATGTCGCTGCTGCGCTCGGGCCTGATCTTCATGTTCTTGAGGATCGCGGTGCTCCATGAACTTGAAGTCCCATCACCGCCCTGGTCAACCTTAGGACACTGGGACCAGTCAACTTCAGCTCGCTCACTACATTTTTGCAAGTGGACTCCAGCGGCGAAAGCAGATAGCAAAAGCGTGGCAAACACACTACACGTTTCAACACAGACCTACTCCTGTAACACATACGATTACGTACGTATCTTTACACGAGCATATACACAACTGTGCTGCTGGGTACGGTGTGGGCGTGTCCTCGTGCCCTTCGCCGAGTAATCCCTGAAGCCTCAATCCTCAACCCTGAAGAATATTTTTAAAGGGACCCGGATCCCAGATTGCCATATCTTCTTGGTCATGGCGAGTGCCCGGGGCGTCCTCCCGCACGACTCTTGAGGGGGACCAAGAGGGCTCCAAATTTGGTCCAAGAGGGGCTTCAGAGGCCTCGCAGACGGTCCAAGAGAGCCCCGAGCCGCCGAAGGACCGCTCCCAACCCCCAGGATGGCCTCAAGATGGCCGCCCCTAGTACCCCAGGAAGCGTTCCAAGATGGCCCCGAGAGGCCTAAACCAGACAAATGTCTGACGGAATTTGGCATGTCCGCCTTTTCGGCTTCCCGACGCTTCAAGACGATCCAACAGGTCCCCAAGATCGCCCCAAGACTGCCCCACGGCGGCCCAAGAGGCGCCATGGACAGCCCAAGAGGCCCCAAAGACGGCTCCAAGGGGGCGCCCTGATGGGGGAGCCCACTCTCCCGTCCCAAGAAGCCCCCCAAAGGCCCCCAAGAGGCCCCCAAGAGGCCCCAAGGGCCCCACCCAAAACTGCCCCCGAGAGGCCCCCGAGGGCGCTCCGAAGAGACCCCACGAACCATCCCTGAGAACTCTGACCCACAACCCAGGCACAGTGGCGGGATGAAGGCCACTATACAGAAATATATATATATATATGATATACACAGAGGAGAAGGAGGAGGAGGAGGAGGAGGAGGAGGAGGAGGAGGAGGAGGAAGAGAAGGAGGATGGAGAGGGGGGGAGGCAGAGGAGGAGGAGGGGGGGGAAGGTCTGGAACTTTGGTTTAGCGTGTCGCCCCGGCGGCCCCAGCGACACGCTATGGCTTTCGAGTGGATCGCTTGTCGCGCCGCTCCGCTGGGCGGGAGGTTCGTCAAGGCTCGAGACGTTGACGCTGGCGGGGCGGGAAATGGATAGCGTGCCGCACAAACGCATGGTGGGCCAGAACCGGCGGAGCGACGACCAACAAGTGCTCGGCCGTAGACAGTGGGTGTGTGTGTGTATATGTGTGTGCGTGTGTGTGTGTGTGTGGTTGCCTGCGTGCGTTCGGGCGTGCGTGCGTGCGTGCGTGCGCGGGCGGGCGGGCGGGCGGGCGGGCGTGCGGGCGTGCGTGCGTGCGTGCGTGCGTGCGTGTGTGTGTGTGTGTGTTGTGTGTGTGTGTGTGTGTGTGTGCAGGTGTGTGTGTGTGTGTGTGTGTGTTTGTGTGTGTTTTGTGTGTGTGTGTGTGTGTGCAGGTGTGTGTGTGTGTGTGTGCAGGTGTGTGTGTGTGTGCGTGTGTGTGTGTTTGTGTGTGTTTGTGTGTGTTTAGTGTGTGTGTGTGTGTGCGTGTGTGTGCGCGTGCGTGTGCGCGTGCGTGCGTGCGCGTGTGCGCGTGCGCGTGCGCGTGCGCGTGTGTGTGTGTGTGTGTGTGTGTGCGTGTGTGTGTGTGTGCGTGTGCGTGTGCGTGTGCGTGTGCGTGTGCGTGTGTGTGTGTGTGTGTGTGTGTGTGCGCGTGCGTGTGCGTGTGCGTGTGCGTGTGTGTGTGTGTGTAGGTGTGCATGTGTATAGGTGTGTGTGTGTGTGCGCGCGCCCCTTCCTGGATTCTATGCAGGCGGCCCTGGGTTGCAAAACACCTGGCCCGCAGACGGCGGCCGGCGGCACCGACGGGCGGCGGCGACGGGCGACGGCCAGTGCCATCGACGACGGCGGCAGGACTGCCACGGCAGCACGGGCCACGGAGCGGCGGCCACCGGCGGCGCACGAGCGGCGACGATTAGGGAACGCACAGTGAGATAAACTCACAGATAAGAGAGAGAAACAGAAACAAAAAACATCTTTTTAGGGCTATAAGCTATGGGTCGATCTGGGCTATAGGGAAGTGGGGCTATGGCGCTAGAGGGAAATGGAACCATAGTGCTATAGGGCAATAGGACTATAGGTAGATAAGGAAATAAGAGTATAGGGCTATCAGGCAATAAGGCTATGGGGCTCTAGGGCTATTGGGCTATAAGACTGTAGGGCCATATAGGGCTATAGGGCTATAAGGCTATACGGCAATAAGGCTATAGGGATATAGGGCTATAGGGATATAGGGCTATGGGGCTATAGGGCGTTTGGCCTATAAGGCAATAGGGCAATAGGGCTATGGGGCTATAGGGCTAAAGGGCTATAGGGCTATGGGGCTATAGAGCCATAGGGATTAGGGCGATAGGTCTATGGGACTATATGGCTATAAGGCTATGGGGCTCTAGGGCTATTCGGCTATGGTGCTATAGGGCTATAATATTATAGGACTGTTGGGTTATAGGGCTACAGGGCTATAGGGCTATAGGGCTATAGGGCTATAGGGCTATAGGGCTATAGGGCTATAAGGCTATAAGGCTATAAGGCACCCGGGCGCCCGGGCACCTGGCAACCCGGGCACCCGGGCGGGCCGCGGGAATCGGCGGCCAAACTCACCTAACACACGAATCCGCTAGAACCCTTACAGAGGCAAGCTCTCTTTGGGGAAAAACTCGAAGCTCCGCGCGGATTTCTCCCATCGGCGCTGGCCGCCCCTCCCTGGCGCGCGGAGCGCGCCAAGGGCGGCGCCAGAGGCTCCGCTAGGGGGGTTCAGCGCCGGACCGAGAAATCTGCACGGACCTCCGAGCTTTTGAGTTTCTGTCATTGTTCGCTCCCCGGGACAAGCGGCGCACCTCTGGGCACACCGGGGAGCCGCTGCCCGGCGTCGGCCGTGCATCGGCGGCGCCCGCAGCGGCGGGCATGGGCCGGGCGCGGTGCCCGGCCGCGCGAATGGGGGGGGCGGTGCCCCTCCCCCCGGCACGGCGGCGCCCGGCCCCCCCCCCTTTGCGACGGAGGAGGCGGAGCGGAGGAGAGGAGGAGAACGGCGACGACGACGAAGTTGACGACGCTGCGGACGGCGACTCGCGCGCGGAGAGCAGCACCGGAGGATTAGACGCTGGCGGGCGGGCGGGCAAGAGGGCGGACGGGGAAGAGGCTGGGCACAGACGGCGGCGGGGCTCGGACACGCAGGCGCTGCCGGGCGGCATAGGAAGATGATGGCCGTGGTGGTGATGGTGATGGTGATGGTGATGGTGATGATGGTGATGATGGTGATGATGGTGATGATGGTGATGATGATGGTGATGATGATGGGGATGAGGAGGGACCCTCTCGTGGGAGATGGTGGTGGTGCTAAGATCAAACAGCCGAAGATGCGCACGCACTCTTGAGATCATTCACGAGACTTCTGGGAGACTCCCTGCTCCTCCGATAGCCTTCCCCTTCACCCCCCGACGCATTTATGGTCATGACTCTAGCCTCAGGTGGCCATGTGGGAAAGCGACTCCTTCCGCTGCAAGGCAAGGCTTCCTCGATGCACAACCTGTATGATATATATACACACATCTATATGATAGAACCATCGCGCGCGCTTCGCGCGCGCGCGCTAAAGTCCTAGCTAGGCTTGATCGGCTAACTCATGTAATCTCATGTTGGTGGCTTCTTGCGTCCAGGGACTCACTCGGAGGCCCTGCGCAAGCCTCGGAATCGCATAGAAGGGGAAGTGCGGAAACGCAGAAATCATTCCTGGGTTATTGGGGGGAGGTTAGGGGGTCTGAATTGTGGTCTGTTGTGCAAGAGTAAACCCGGGGCCAAACTTGGGGGACAAAATTATGAGATTCCCAAGTTTTCCCATTCCTCGGCGCTGTTCGGCGCTGTTTTGTGTTTGTGCCTCGCAGGTTTTATTAGCCAGGCCCCTCAGGGGTGTGGGATCTTCCGGACCTCCTGGGGGTTTGGGAGGCCTCCTGGAGGCCTGGAGAGCCGTCGGAAGGGTGTCTCGGGCTGCGCGGGAGCGTGTTGGGCCGTTCTTGATGTTCTGGGGGCTCCTTGGGGTCGTCTTGGGCTGTCCTCTGGCGTCTTTGGGGCCCCCTGGGAAGCCAGGAGGCGCCGTACCGGCCAGATGTCAGGGGATGTGTGGAATCTCCGAGTAGGAGCCCACTTCGAGAAAAGGAAAATCTGGGAATCCCTTTTTTTGTTTCAAAGTCGTCGATCTTTGAGAGTTGGACGTGGGAAAACGTGAGAAGACGAAACACCCAGGAAAAACTAGTGGCAATCAAAGTGTTTACCCTCTGTTGGCTCTCTCGCGACGGCTCTCGCAGGTCTCTTGGGCTGTACTTGGAGCCTCGTCGGGGTCTTTTTGGAGCCTCTCAGGGATCGGGGGTGTGTTGGGGGCCTCTGGGTGGTCTCTTGGGTGGTCTTGGGGCGGCCTTGGGGGCCTCTTCGGCGCTCTTGGACCGTTGGAAGCTCGAAAACGCGAGACGCCAAAAACATTGGAAACCAATGCAAATCCACTATTTGGGCCTCTTCGGGCCGTCCAGGGACGCCTCGCGGACCTCTCTTGGGGTCTCTTGGAGGCCACCTGGGAGCCTCGAGAGCCATCGGAAGGCTGACTTGGGCTGCTTGGGAGAGTCTTGGGCCATCCTTTTGCATTCTGGGGGCTCCTGGGAGGCGTCTTGGGCCCTCCTGGAGCGCTGTGGAGGCTCCCCGGAAAGGCCGGGGGAGCGGTACCGGGAACGTCCCCGAGGTGTCACGGGGAGAGGTGTGGGACCCGGGACCAGGGGGGGGCGCGGCATTCGTTTATTATATCTATCTCTCTCTCTCTATATATATATCGGGCCATCACATTTGCCTCCAGTAACCACTGGCCTCCGAATCCGTTACAACTGCGTACCCCTCTGGCTCTCGACAAAATTGGCATGGCAGTGACGGGGGTCATGTAGATTATCCTGGCGCAGGGCCCAAGCATATGCAGTTGTGAGTATTGCCGTTGTGGGTATCGCCTTTGGCGGGTCTCTGTATGGGGTCACGAAGCATGTGAGGGGTATACTGAAATGGGGCGGGGACGCATGCGGGCGTAGCCACCGCCACTGGGGCCTGCGGTGGGCTCCCTATGGGGCCACGAAGCTTTGTATTGGGTGGGGGAAGCGCATGCGAACATCTCCACTGGGGTCTTCGGTGGAGCTCCCGATGGAGCCACGAAGCGCCGTACTGGGGGGGGGGGGGACACGCATGTGAACACCGCCAGTATGGCCGTCGGTGGAGCTCCCCATGTGGCCACCAAACGCTGCAATGGGTAAGGGGAAACGCATGCGAACACAGCCATTGCGGCCTTCGGTGGAGCTTCCTATGGAGCCACGAAGCGCTGTACTGGGCAGGGGAAACGCATGCGAACACCACTACTGGGGCCTTTGGTGGAGCCCCCTTATGGGGCCACGAAACGCTGCACTCCGTGGGGGAAACGCATGAGAACCATGCCACTGAGGCTCTCGGTGGAGCTCCCTATGGGGGCACGAAATTTGTACTGGGTGGGAGAAGCGCGTGCGAACACCGCTAATGGGGCCTTCGGTGAAGCTCCCTGTGTGACCGCGAAACGAGTGAGGGTGTGCCAACTTGCACGGGGGCAGCATGCGAACCATGCCACTGGGGCCTTCGGTGGAGCTCCCGATGGAGCCACGAGACGTGTGAGGGGTCTGACAAAATGGGGCTGGGGCGGCATGCGAATCATGCCAGTGGGGCTTTCGGTGGAGCTCCCGATGGGGCCACCAAGCGTGTGAGGGCTGTGCCAATGCCAAAGTGGAAGGAGGGGCGGCATGCGAACCATGCCACTGGGGCCTTCGGTAGAGCTCCCTAAGGGGACACGAACCGTGTGAGGGGTGTGCCAAAGTGGAGGGGGGACTGCATACGAACAATGCCACTGGAGCCTCCGGTGGAGCTCACTACCAAAGTGAGGGGGGCAACGGGACGAGGGAGAGAGAGAGAGGAGGAGCACGAGGATGAAGAGACGCAGGGGTGGTCTCCTCAAAACGAGGACCCAACACCACAGGACGGTCGGGATAAACAAACGGAAAGGTGGACGACGAAGGGAGGTCAAGATAGACAGGGGCATATCTGATCTCAGGCGGGAGAGAAGATGAGTGGATGCTACGTGCGGGGAGGAAGTGGGAGCAGGACGAAGAGGGAGGGAAGGAGGCAAGAAAGGATGCAACCCTCGTTGCATCCCTTTCTCCCTCCTTCCCTCCCGCCCACACCAATTGGCCAATGCACAGACCCCCTTCCGCCACCGAAGCACGTAGTCGCGCTCGTAGAACTTCATCCACACGCCCGGCATATGCGGGGGCCGAAAGAAGTCGAGCACGTACAGGACAACGAACACCGTAGTAAGGTGGACAGTGGCGAGAGTGGGGTATGAGAAGGAGGGGGAGGAGGAGGAGGAGACAATGAAGCATTATGGTGGGCTGACTCTGACAACCTGGCTAGGGGTTGTTCTGGCTGTCTGACTGGCACTCTGACTAAATGTCTGGAAGCATGCCTGAATGAGCGAGCGTGACTGACGGACTGAGTAACTGCGTAACTGACCGACGGACCCATCCGATCTGGGATCGCAAGACGACGGACCAAGCACTAAGAGTCTGGCGACAATTGCCAGAAAAGCAGAAAGCAACACATAACAGTAGAGGGGGACACCACAAATGAGACACGAACCTTGGAATGCGTGATGTCCCAACGGGGCCAAATCTCAAAGTAATGTGGACATGGAGACACGTGAACTCGCACCTCGGTGCACCCCACGAACGAGACAACACCGACCAACTCCTTTTGGGTGGTATGATTCGAGCTCTATGAGTCTGCCCTGAGACTCGCCTCGGAAGATTGGGAGGCTGCACAATGCCTCGTGAAACTTCTCCACCACTTGCAATGATTTGGGCAATTTCCTCCTCGTCCCCCTTCAGCAAACAATGTTCGCCCAGACGAGCGCTTCGAGGACAGCGCCGACGCAGCACTCGAGATCCTCCCCCCGACCCCCCGAATGAGTCCGCCAGTGTTCCCCTGGGCGGCGCAAGGGGCCTATGCATGACCCGCCGAGTTCTCGGGGTGCACGATTGTAACTCCGCAAAGTCGCCTCGAGGCACGAGTTTGAGTGTCCTCAGGCCCCTTGAGCCCTCAGCCCCGAACGAGCTATCAAGACCGAAGCCCCTCATTGTCACGGTTTTCCCAAGGAGGGACGCAGACCTCTCTGGGGTGTGCCGCCGATCTCGTATGAATACGGCCCCGAGAGGGCCCAAAGTGGGCCACTACGACAGTTCAGGGGCCCCGAGACGGCCCAAGAGCGCCCCAAGGCACCTCAAGATAACCTCAAGGCGGCCCCAGAGACAACACAAGATAGCTCCAAGAGACCCCGCGAGGGCCTCAAGGCACGAACATCATAGTTGCTGATTGCGATGTCGGAAGGATTTGAGCGTTATCGCATTGTCGGGCTTCTAGCACTCGAAGGCGGCTCAGGAGGCCCCCAAGACGGCCCAGAAGGCTCCCAACAGGTCCCCAAGATGACACAAGAGGCCCCGAAGACGAGTCCTACAGCACCCCAAGACGGCCCAAATAGGGGAAGCACGAACTGACAGTTCGAGACCTCCACCCCAAGATGGCAAGAGGCCCAGAGAAGCCTCCAGGAGGTCTCGAAGATGCCCCAAGAGGCCCCTAAGGAGCCCCCCAAAGACCCCCAAGAGCCCGCCAAGAGGCCTCCGAGAGGCATCCCAAGAGATATGAATATGCAACCTAGGTACGGTGGCGTGATGGGCCGAACGCCACTGCATCCGCCGCCCCCTTTTGTTTTAGCAAAGGGGTGCCTGGCGTGCCGAACTATAGGTGTTCTGGTTTCCGTTCCAAAAGAACTCCCCCCTGGGGCTTCGGCCCGTCTCGCCGACCACCTGGAAGGATTGCCCAGAGGTGGTTGCAAAGGTTTTGTCCGTTCCAGACGGCTCCAAGATGGCCTACGATGGCCTCCAAGAC